TGGGGCAGTTACGTGTATACCTAAGGACTTCAAGGTCGCTCTTAAGTCCTTCAGACTGTGCAGTTTACTGTCAGTATGCTATGAGAAGAGCCCTGACCCTTCAAAAGGCAGGTGCTGCAGTGCAGTCTGGACTTCAGGCGGGATGACAGTGACCTAAAGCCATGAATTCCTCCGCATGACTATGCCCGTGGCCACTGAGCATGCCACCGAGTCCGCAGCATCCCGCATGGCCTGAAGGTCAGTGCAGGACACCACCCTGACCTCCTCCATCAAGGCCCTGAACTCTTGTTGTGATGAGAATGAGAATGATTAAAGGTCCAGAGAACATGACCTATGAAGGAAGGCTGAAGAAATTAGGTTTGTTTAGTTTAGAAGAGAGAAGATTGAAGGGGGACATGATAGCAGTTTTCAGATATCTAAAAGGGTGCCATAAGGAGGAGGGAGAAAACTTGTTCATCTTGGCCTCTGGGGATAGAACAAGAAGCAATGGGCTTAAACTGCAGCAAGGGAGGTTTAGGTTTGACATTAGGAAAAAGTTCCTAACTGTCAGGGTAGTCAAACACTGGAATAAATTGCCCAGGGAGGTTGTGGAATCTCCATCTGTGGAGATATTTAAGAGTAGGTTAGATAAATGTCTCTCAGGGATGGTCTAGACAGTATATGGTCCTGCCATGAGGGCAGGGGACTGGATTCGATGACCTTTTGAGGTTCCTTCCAGTCTTAGTATTCTATGATTCCCTAGGTAATTGAGCCTTGAACTTATTTACTGCCACCCAGGAGTTGTGGGCATATCTTCTGAGCATTGATTGCTGGTTAGCAAGCCTCAGCTACAGCCCAGCTGTAGCATATTACTTTCTGCCCAAGGTCAAACTTTTTAGGCTCCTTCCTCTTGGGAGTGGGACCAGATTTCCTCCACCTCTCCCTTTGGCAAGAGACCATGGCAACTGGGGGTGGGTGGGCAAACAGATGTTCAAGCCCTGACTGCAGCACCAAATACCTCCCCTCAACCCCCTTCTAAGTCAGAGGAATAGACACTGGTGACTGCCAGAGAGTTTTTGTAATTTTGACCACCATCTTATTAAGGGGGAGGGCAATCCTATCAGAGGTATCTGCTGTCAAGATGTCCATCATAAGCTCCGATTACTCCACAACTTCCTCAGTCTGCATCCCCAGGTTTTGGGCCAACCTCCTGAGGTGGTCCTGATGGGTATGTATATCCATGGTGGGCATAGCCAGAGACATGTCCACCAGATCCTCATCAGGGGAAGAAGACAAGGAGTTCCTCAGCAATGTTATCTCAGGGGGCATCCCTGGTTGTGTCTGGGAAGGATGCGGTTGGGTAGGGCCCGTTGGGTCCCCGTTTGTACCTGAGGGACTGGTCCTGGACGCTGATGCTAGAGCCTGGGTAAGCGGGGTGGCCAAAGGTGTAGCCCTATGTCCAGAGTACAATGAGGCCAAGACTGACCCCGATTTCGAAAGTCCTTGCTCCTGGGCCTGATGGTATGCCCAAAAGGTTACTGAGCTGGTGGCTGCCACTGTGGAGGCCATGTCTGTGATGGCAGCGGACTGGCCTTCCTCGAGTGGCACCGTGAGCAGGATCAATGCTGGGACCAGGATTGGTACGGAGACTGGAACCAGCCTGACCTCGAGGAGTGATGCGATGATGCCCTTGATGTCACTGTCTCCGTATCCAATTCGGAGGAGTACTCAGACATGGACTATGGCAGTGCCGCAGATACTGACTGCTCCTGATGCCGGCTGTGGTGCACCATGGCCGCCGGTTTCCCTTGATGAGGTGGTAGCAGTATCGGAGCCAGAGGGGGCATGGCATTATGCTCTGGTGCCAAATGTGGAGGCAGTGCCAGTGGTGCCAGGAGAGCCCTAGTGCATGTCAACTCACAGGGCCATGGCCAAACACAATAATGGATTTGCTTTACAACAGAGTCCGTTAGGGATAGTTGCTTTTATTAATCTCACTACATTACTACTATTACAGGTTTAATAGTGCCAGAGGGTTCCACAGCTATTGCAAAGAGAAACATCAATAAGCACAGGCAGAGCAATGCAAAAGAGAGTAACAGGCACTTAGAAATGCTTACGCCCCTTCGGTCTGTGGGGAGTCCTGTTCCTGTCACCTTCCACCAAGCTGCAGGGGATGTGGCTCTAGCTAGGGGAAATCCAGGGCACCCTCCAAGATCTAGGTCCCGGGTGAGACTCACCAGGCAAGAGACTCCCTACACTAATTATACTACAGTTGTTTACCAGGCATGAACTGGCTCAACCCCATTCTTATCACTCTAATGAGCTGAGACCGAGGTCAAACTTGTTTGCCACTTAGTAGTTTCCCAGCGGAAGGCATGAGTTAAAGCTGATAAAGCCGAGTTGCTTTTTGCACTTGCAGGGTACAAGGTTACCAGGCTGTGTACAGGTAGGATGGAAACTTCCATCCCGAGCCTGCTAAGCTACAGGACCCACATATAACTTTATGTGACAGTGCTGCTACTAAGTACGGTGCTGGTCCGGATTCCTGCGCTGTTAGCATCGTAAGCGGCACCATAGTCAGCGCCAGCTGTATGACTGTCAGTCTGACGCTCTCGGCCTGAGTATGAATCCGTGCCATACGGTGCTGGTTCTGGGGAAGATGTGAGTTCAATCAACTCATGGGCTGCAACGAATGTGTCTGGGGTCAATGGCTGTAAGACCTCTTCCACGGAGAGATCCTGGACCTCAGGGCTACTAGCCCATGTAGGGCTCAACCTATGTCTATGCTGCAACTTCAGTAATATAAAAGGGCATGTCATGAAACACCAACTCCACTGGACTGTTCACTGTATACCTATATACTCCTGAAGGAAGTATGCTTCTCTCTGTTAGGTCAGGGCAGGGAAGAAGTGCTCACAGAGAGCAGCAGAAGCACTTTAAAGACATATCAAAATACTCCTTAAAAAGATAGGAATTGATCCAACAAACTGGGAGGACTTGAAGCAGAACAGAACAAAGTGGTGCCATACCATGCCACAACTCACTTGAAGGAGACCAGACGTATTCATGAGACAGAGAAGTGACAAAGGAGGAAAGAAAGAGCACATCAGTCCAGCCAACAACTATGTCTATTCCAATGTTACACTTGGCACTCCTGTGGGAAAATCTGCAGGGCATGAACTGGGCTCGTCAACCACTTTGAAACCTATCAATGAACTCCTTTGGCAGATATCGTACTCGACTGAGGGACAGCTGAAGAAATCCCTGTACTTAATTAACCCTAGATCAGTGTGTATATGCAGGTGTTAGAACTTTATGAATACTAGTGAATTATACAAGTATTGTTTCACTTATTGATCCTTATTATAATACAATGTCAGGCAATCACATTTTATTTTTAAAAACACACACACACATATATATATATATATATATATAATGACTAAGTTCTGGCTGTGCCCTCTGGGTCTTGCACTACTGGTGGATAATAGCCTTAGAGACTCACTGTGGTCCTATACACAACCCCTTTCTCTTTACAGGAGGCAGGGTCCACAGCTTAGTGAACCTTGATAGTCCTGGTCTCCCTTCTTGGGACATGCTATATGTTGGCATAGGGAAGGTTTGGGGGGAACCCAGGCCCACCCACTACTCTGGGTTCTGGCCCAGGGACCTTAAAAAAGTAGCAGCAGCAGTCAAGGTTGTTTTTCTTCAGAGTTGGCAGCTTTTTCCCTGGGCCACTTCCCCAAACAACCCCTCCAAAATGTCTCCATCTGGTACCTGTTAACCAGCTCTCACCTCATACATGACTTCTTCTTGTTCCTCCCTTTCTCCTTCTGGTTTGTCACTCTTTGTCTTCCCCCTCTTCTTACATAGGGGAGGCCTTTTAAAGTAACTTCACTGGCTGCAATTGGCTGCAGGTGTTGAGTGACTTCCCTGAAGGAACAATCTAGTTAATTAGCCCCAGATGTTTTCCTGCCTTCATTTTATTGCAGCAGGCTCTAGTAAGTTAATTCTGGAAAGATAAAATCACTTTTCCAGTGCCCTCTATACCTGCCTTCCACCAGAGTGTGACAGGTTGCTGGTTTAGGTCTGTCAATATATATATTGATTGAGATAGATATAATATTATATATCTCAATCACTGTAATTAAATTACTTGTCTCCAGTCTCCATCTACAACTGCTACTCATCAAAACCCATTTGGGAGAAAACACCACTCAAATTGTCTTTTGTGAGCAGGATCTATAAATACTGGTTTAAGGGAATGATTTGGCATCTCTAGACTGATGGGCTACATCTAGACTACATCCCTTTTTCGGAAAAGGGCTGTAAATTAGACGTATCGCAATTGATAATGAAGCAGGGATTTAAATCTCCCGCGCTTCATTAGCATAAAAATGGCTGCTGCTTTCTTTCGGTACAGAGCTTTGCAGGAGAAAAGCACCAGTTTAGACGCTGATCTTTCGGAAAAGGCTTTATTTTTCAAAAGATCAGAATCTAGACTGGCGCTTTTCTCTGGCAAAGCTCCATGCCAAAAAAAAGCGGCAGCCATTTTTATGCTAATGAAGCGCGGGAGATTTAAATCCCTGCTTCATTATCAATTGCGATACGTCTAATTTACAGCCTTTTTCCAAAAAAGGGATGTAGTCTAGACGTAGCCATGGATTCCTGTGACGGGCCGGAGGCGGCCCGCACAGAGGAGGGCAAAAGGGGGCTGGGAGAGGCAGCACCCCTGGCC